GATTAACCCCTTCCCCTCCTGCGGAGTGCGGCGCAGCTGATTGGACGCCTGGCCTGATTGAAAGCCACTCGCAGCCACTAGGGCCTCTAGCAGCCAGAGTCCCTCCCCCCTCCCCCCGCCTACCCTCCTTCCCCCACCAGAGCAGCGGCAGTGTTTGATTCCATGTGGAGCCTGCATTTCTCCCTCTGCCGGGTGAGCGGGGGGAGCAGGGCAGGCGGCGTGTGTGTGTGTGTGTGTAGAGGCTGCAGGGGCAGGGCAGGCAGGGGGCGCAGAGGCTGCAGGGCGAGTGGGGAGCAGGGGGTGCAGAGGCTGCAGGGTGAGGAGGAGCAGGGCAGGCAAGGGCATAGAGGCTGCAGGGGCTGCGGGGTGAGTGGGGAGCACTTAGCAACCCCCAACCAAGATCAGAGCGGGAGGGAGGAGGGGGAATGCGGGGTGCTCAGAGGAGGGGGCAGAGTTGGGGCAGGGACTTTGGGGAAGGGGTTGGAATGGGGGCGGGGAAGGGGTGGGGTTGGGGCGGGGCCGGGCCCGTGGAGTGTCCTCTTTTTTAAATGTTTGAATATGGTAACCCTACCCAAAGGATGGCTCTGAGCTGTCATGTGCTGGGCTGTCCTGTCCTGTGCTAGGGCAGGGTTAAGGCCTAGGAATTATAGACCTGTGCCCAGGGGCCCAGCAGACTCTTGTCTTGTGTTTAAAAGAAAATGTAAGTTTCCAGGTTTCATGTGTGAGGAAAAAAGCTGAGAATTGTGCCCTGAGTTTAGCAGTCCAAGCAACACCCGCCTGAGTCTGCAGAGAGCCGGGGACCAGAGCTCTGAGAGAGGAACTGCCCCATGCAGCTCAGTGGGAGGTTTACAACCAGCCCCACTGCTCTGGGGGCCCTGCCAACCCCACCCAGCAGGGACTGTGTGTGTGATGGGGGGGAAGAGCCCTGGGGATCCAACACCCCCCAAACAAACATACCAAGCACCACTGTAATGATCTTGGGGTTCATTAAACAACAAACCAGTGAATGAGAAAGGAATAAAACTTTGTTAAAAACAAACTAGAGAGTGTCTGTGGTGAACTGCTGGGCATAGCTACCCTGTATTCTCCACCCAACTACCAGGCATGGCTCAAAATTTCTGTGTTCCTAATACTGTCCCTTGTGTAGGAGAATCTCTAAATTATAATCTCTACAACCAACATCCTGCTGCTGAGGGAAGTACTGGGGGCGAGAGGAGGGGGCAAAATCCTTGTTAATGCTCTAACTCTTCTGGGGGCAGAGGGGGCCCATGTTCTGGCCTGTCGCTCTAGGAGTGGAAGGGGGGACTCTGCCATTGCCACTCCAATTGGGAGAGGGCAGGTCTATGGGGGCTCCATGTCAGGGAAAGCCTAGGGCCCTGCACTGCCTGAATCCAGCCCTACCCTCTGCAAAGCTCCCAGCACCTGCTGGCCCAGGAAGGCGGGATTGGAGTCTGGTCCCTGGCCAACTGCTCTCTATTATCATTACATCTCCAGCCCAACCCCAGAGCAAAGGGTGAGTGTAAGTTTCTGAGCCATTTAATTACCTGTATGACCTTGTGCAGAGCGGGGCACTGAGAGCCAGAGAGACAGGGCATGGCAGGCGCTGGGCATTCTGGGAGGCTGGCAAAAATGGGGAATTTTTTGGGGGGAAAATTTTCTTTCCATTCAAAATTTTTACTGAAATCTTCCAGTATTCTGACAAAATGACTCAAAACAAAAAGAAAATAGTTTAAAATAGATTGGAAAGTCAATTAAAATCAAATGGGAACAAAATTAATATTTTTTAAAGTTCAGTTCCTAAATTTTCCTCCTTAGAAGGCAAACATTATTCATTTTGATGCCATCAGACAAGAATCAAAAGGAACATTTTTTCTTGTGAATCATTGTATTGAAAATTTTGAAAAAATTTTGTTGAAAATGTTCATATACTTTTAAGAGCCATTTTTCATTACAAATGTTTCTGATGAAACATTCCTCACCAGCCCTAGTTTCCAGATTCTTTATAAGGCTCTTGTTCAGCCTAATAACACAGGGTAAAATACTGAAAAAGTACCCAAATCCCATTGGCTTTCAATAGGAGTTAAGGGCCAGATCCACAAAGGGACAGATAGTTTAAGGGTTAGCTGCTCTGAGAGCACCTACCAGTTCAGGCCCTGCACTAAAGACAACTGGGGGTGGGTGAGAGAGACAGAGAGTGTGGGCATGTGGCCAGAGGATCCTAGAGTCATTGGTTGGCGCACTCAGGTGGCACGTGGGAGAACCAGGTCTGATTCCCTGCCTTTGATTTAGGGCAGGGATTTGACCCCAGGTCTTTCCCATCCCACATGTGTTCCCTAGTAACAGGCTGTGGTGTGAGTCTCTCCTATTGGAGCTGGTCCACTTTGAATAAATAGTTATTGGAGCAGGGATTTGACTCTGGGTCTCTCATACCCAGCTGAGTGCCCTGACCCCGGGGCTATTGGCATTAGCAGGGGAGGGGAGTTTCTCTCTCTGGCTGTGTACAAGGAAGGGCTGACCTGATTTAGGTGACAAACTCCAGGCAAGGGTTTACTGCTGAGAATCCCAACTGGAGGGAGAAACCTCCCTCCAGCCATCAGCCAGGCACCTAGGGTACAGATCAATGGGACTGAGGTGCCTAAATCCCTTTGTGAATCTGGGCCCTGAACCCCATCCCTTTCCCCTGAATTTCACTGGCTGGCTTAGGCAGCTGACTGCTCAGCATGCTGGCTTCCAAGGAGCCCTTTGGTAGGTGCCTAGTTCTGCGCAGACATTGTACGTGAACCCTGGGTGCCCAGCTCAGGGCTGTGAAGTCTCCTAGGCATCAGAGCACCTGGGAGTCAGGTCCTGTAATGCTGTGACTCCAGCCCTAAGCTCCTAAATCACTTGAGTGGTTCTGAAGATGTTACTCACAAGCCAGCACAGTCAGAGCCACCACCCCCCTCCCCACCTCCCTGCAGATGAACAGTCTGTGAGCTCCAGATACACAATAGAAACCAACACACAACAATGCCTAGGACAGCTCTTAAACCCCCAGAGCTTCCTGGCTTCTGATCAGCAAATCCAGCTCTCCCCAGACGAGCATAGTCCAGCCAGGGCCCTTATGGCCTCTCTGTGCAGGGCAACTGCCTGGTGTGTTAACAGCAGCAACTACTCAGGGTGAAATCCTGGCCCAACTGATATCAATGGGAGTGTTCCCACTGGTCTCCACAGGGCCAGGACTTCATCCTCAGTGTAGACACAATGTGTCATGTGTAACATGGTGTCAGCTGGTTGTGGATAACCCTGAAATCTTACCCTTGGGCTGAGACTGTCTCTGTTCTGTGTCTGTGCAGTGCTCAGCACATTGGGCCCCTTGCTCCAGGACTGAGCCCCAGGTGCCCCCACAATAACAACACTAGAGTGACTCCCAGGGGTCACCATGGCCAGCTGACACAATCTGACCATGGCCATCCTTTTCCACACCAAGAGCAAAAGCATGTTCAGCACAATGCTCGTCACACCAGGCTAGTTATTGCTGTTGTGTATGATTTGCATTACAGTATTGACAAGGAACCCACTGTCAGGGCCCCACTGTGCCAGGTGCTGCACTGATACATACATGTAATAATAAAAAACAGGGAAGCACCATGACCTCCCATTTAGATCTCTGAGCCAAATGACCCCCCCCACCACACACACACATATAAACACTTCTGGCCTGACAGCCCCTCCTTCTAGAAGCATCAGCAGGACAGGGCTGTGCAGCCCTTTTGAAGAAGCACCAAATCACCATGCACCCATCACACCCTCCAGTGAAAGGCTACAAGGAACTCCAGATGGCCACAACATGCAGAGAGGGGATAACAGGCTGAGCAGTGAATCACACCCACCATCAGGATTTGCCGAGCACTGATGGGAGGTGGGAACATGCTCCCAGGGAGCAGGAGTGTGAGCGGCCCCTGAGAGCAAAGGAAAGGGGGTAATAATGGGGAGGGACCTACCTTAAGCATTCAGCATGTCCCAGGAGATGCCATGCAATGTATCTGTAGCCTGGGGTGCCAGACCCACACAGAGCGCCCAAGGAACTGAATGGATATTCTGGGGCAGATGGGGAAATGCGTCCCGGAGCTGTTTGTGAACTCTGACCAGGGGAAAGTGAAAGCACCAGGGTGTTAGTCACACATTAACCTGTGTATGTGGTTTACCTGGTCAGGATCCAGGGCATGTTCAGTACATGTAACATGTTCGGTTACCTGTGGAGACACGGTGAGTAGTGAGGAGTTTACATGGCGCTGGGTTCCCATTCATCCTCCCATCACTTGGGAGGCCCATTGCAGGTCATCCCTCGGTGCTGATACTTCCCTGTCCCTGGATCTGCTCCCCACTCCCATCTCATCCCCTTTTCCCACCACCAAGCTTCCCTTCCTGTCCCAGCAATGGTGGGTGCATTAGCAGGGTGGGGCATGCACAGAAAACAGCATCCCAGGGGACTATGGTCCAGTGCAAATTAATACAAGCAGCTTGAACATAGGACAAGGTATAACAGCCCCAGTGACTTCTAAGGAGGAGTTGTTGTGATGGTGTATACAAGTGCATCTAGTAGGGGTCATGGGTAGAGTTTGAACCCAGCATCTGCTATACCATAGCACAGGCCTCTGCCACTTTAGCTAAGGAACAAGCTCTATTAACAGTTCTTTTCTGCTTATCATTTGAGTAACACTGGTTAGGTAGGATGCAGGGATTGAATTTAGGCCCTATAGAGCAAAATATATGTGTTACTGTCACCTGGCTAAAGGGTGCTAGCTTCCCACCTGTAGACACTCCATAAACCTAATTGCTGTTCTCCTCACTACAGGAGCCCAGAGAGCTGTGCTAGACTAGTAAGGGTTACCTTACCCAGCTCATCCTGTGTCAGAGCCTGGTTTATACTGGCTGGCTGTGCTGTTCTGGGTGTGTGGTGTGCAATCCAGACACACCCAGCCCGAGACTGATGGGAGTGTTGACTGCTAGAAAGGGACGCTGGTAGGGAGTGGTTCATCAGCCCAGAAGCCCTACAGCAGTTCAGTGTCCTCCAAACCCAGCCATCCACAGGGTAAAGTCTTCCTGAGAACTGAGACCCTTCAGAACCAGGGGTTCATTGACAGGCAGGCTCTGATCCTGGCCCTGCTCCCCTCCTGCTGCCCTGTCCCTAACAGTCACAGTCCTCTGGGGTGGATCTATGTCTCTGGGCTGCCCTTATGGGGAAGGGGAGAAAGGAGATGAAGCATCTCAACCCTCCAGTGAGGCTCCTGCAGGACCTCACTTGTCTCTGAGACTCAGCCAGTGAGAGAGTTGGAATCTCTCTACCATGGGTCAGAGGTCTGGCCAGCACACAGCCCAGAGTGTGAGCATGCTGCTGGGCCCATGTACACTTGCCCTGATCCATATTTAACTCCAGAACAGCAATTAAAAGCTCCTCCTGAGTGTCCCTGGGAATCACAGCATTGTACCCGCTGGAGGGGAAAAGTTTTCACAGTGTATCTCGCCAATGCTCGTTAACCCCTAAGAAGTTGCAGGGGCCTCATGAAGGACAAAGGGCAGGATGGAGGATTGGCAGATTCCACCAGCGAGTACTAAAACATGGTGCATTCTGGGGCAGGTGGAAGATGTTTTTTTTTCCCAGTGGAAAACTGAGATGAATTTCCATTGAAACTTTCAACAAGAACATTGTAAAAAACTGAAAAGTGGGGAAAAACTTTTCAGATGAAAAATTTTCAGGCAACCCTGATCAGAAGCTGTGAAGCTGTGGGGGGTTAAGTAAACTACATTAAATACCTGTGTGGATGCTTTTATTCAGAATTAAAGTGGACTTAATTTGATTTAGCTCTATCCAGGTGCTCCAATCACCCTGAGCATCTGGAAACGGTTCAGGCACAAAATCTGGGCATTTTTGTCTGAGTCTTCCCACTCATGGGGCTCCCTGCTGCATGTCTTCCTCTTCCCTGCTTTCAGAGTGGTAGCTGTGTTAGTCTGTATCAGCAAAAACAATGAGGAGTCCTTGTGGCACCTTAGGCCTGGTCTACACT